TATATATATATATATATTTGTTGTTTATAAATATTTTATAATGTATGCATGAATCATGTTTGATCTTCACAACATAATAAAGGGTTGGATTATCCTTTACCAAATTCATAACATCAGGGGAAGCATTTATATGAAAGGAAAATAATATCGAAAAACTCATTCCTACAGCATCTTGCATTGCATTACATCTTAAGGAAAGTCATGGTCTATATAAAAGCCATTTATCTTCCTTTTAATTATTTCATATTACCACTTTCTACTAACAATGTAATTTCAATCTATTTCTTAATAGGACATTACACTTTAATAAAATTACTCATTTATAGCAAGATATATGTTAAAATGCTGATTATACAATTTGTTGGTTGACATGGTTTTTCCGTTTCAGTGACTAATTTTTTCAATCTTATCTTTGTTATAGATATTTTCAATAATTTATTTGAGTTTAACATTTTAGTGTCATAAATTTCTCTGTTATGTGTACCATTTATATAGCAACATACTTATATTTATTAACCAGAATATCAACATACTTATATTTTTGACAGAAATTGCAACATACTTATATTTATCGACAAAAACAGCAAACTACTTAACAGAATTTGAAGTACAATGTTATTAACTAAGTTATTATTATTTATGATTAAGACTATTTTTTAGAGTGTATGTTATTTAAATTTATCACCCGGTGTAGTATATGAGTTATAACATAGTCATCAAAATAAAGAAGATAGTAGATAGTATCTTGGCTTCAATAGAACGTGAAAGGGGGTGTACTAAAATTGCTACTAAGAAATCCTAAAATTGAAAAAATGACAACAAATCGTTGATACCGAACACAATGAGCTTGTTTAATAAATAGCATCTTTAAGCAGATATATATGATATGGATAACTTGATAAGAGACATGAACATTACAAGAGCTTTCTAGAGTTGAGTTGGGTCGTTTCATGGGCTTAGCCCGTATTTGACTTTAGGCCCTACATATATCTCGATTGTACTTGTAAATTCTACAACTGTGACGTTACAAAATTAATATAAACTTCTCTAGTTCGTTTGTTATGGTTAAGCAATTACCTCGAATGTGAGCCACAAATTAAAAGACAAAGGGTCAAAAAAGATGACAACAGAACATACGCATAAACTAATTATGATAACATATTTTTTTATTTGGTTTATTTCCGTATACATCCAAATTGTACCTTTTCCAATGAAGAATAGGTCGGTTTGTGATGAAAATTTAACGAAGTGAATTTCATATTTAGTTCTTCGACTAAGGGATCACTTTCTATGTTGGTCTTCCAAAATTATTTTTTTCCTTTTCAGTCCCTAGATTTTAACTTTTATCATATTCATCCATCTCTATATTCGAGGTTAATTAGGCCCCATCAATAAAAAGTTTAGGGTAAATTACACCATTCGTCCCCTGTGCATATGTCAAAAAGTGTGTTTAGTCCCTATTTTCAAAAATAAACTCGGGCCGTCCCTCATTTGTATAAAACTTGCACATTTCATCCCTCTGGACATAAAATGATAATTTTGCCCTTATTCATTTATTTTTATTTATTTATTAATTATTAATTACTAATCCATTAAAAATATTATTTATTACATATGTGAGCCATTTGTATTCAGCCATTGGAAAATTACTTCCGACTACCATCACCACTAGCCTCCGGTCACCACCACCACTAACCTCCGGCGACCGCCACCACCATTAGCCTCTGTTGCTGTAGAAAACACATTCAATCCATGTTCTAATCCAAAAAAAAATGCTAACCCAAAAATCCATTCAAGACATCAAAGCTATTTAAAAAAATCAAATCCAGAAACCCATTCACGACATCAAATTCATAAATAGACAAAAAAAACTACAAATCTGGTTTATATCTTCGTATGAATATGAAGAAGAAACCCCCATATGAAAAAAAAACCTTCTTACGCAAATTCGATTTCTTATGATTTAAAGCCTAACTAGTCAGATATTGGTTCGATTTCTTCTGAACAGTTAGATATGAGGTGCAATCGTGGGGAGAATACGAAGGATAAGGAGATCTAGGGTTTGGCAGCCACAAGTCGGGTCCCAGAAATCGTTGTTGTTCGTGGTAGCCAGATGATTTGGTGGATCGATCAGGGGTAGTCAGGAGTGGTTGTGAGGTCTCCGTTAGTCGATTTCGGAGCTGCAAAGAGGGTTTCTCTTATTCTTTTTCCGATGAGATAGTTGTAGATTCGAAAATAACGATGGTCGATTTCAAGAAATTGGGTAGTTGAGTCTGTCGGTGGTTTTGAGTCCATATTTGCGACATGAATCGAGGAAGGGAAGTGAGGTGGTGGTTATTGGCGATGGTCAAGCAGGTTCTGGTGGTGGTTGTATCTCCGGTCGCCAGATTTTGATTTTAAGGGAAGGTGAGGGCGATATGAAGAGTGTGAATGGAGAATTAGGGTATTCCTAGGTAAATGGGGGGGGGGGGGTGATAGGTTTAATGGTTTATAAATTATTAACAAATGTAAAAGTAAATGATTAAAATTTATTTTTTGTTTTTCTTATAAAAACAAAATAAAAAGTAAAAAGTAAGGGCAATATAGTCATTTTATGTTAAGCAAAGGATGAATTGTGCAGATTTAAACTAACGAGGGATGAAACATGCAAGTTTAAACCAAACGATGAACGATTCGAGTTAATTTTTGAAAATAGGGACTAAACACACTTTCTGGCATATGCACGAGGGACGATTGGTGTAATTTACCCAAAAGTTTAAAATAGACAAATCAAATTGATTTTTAATTTCTTCACTGCTTTCCAAACTCAAATATTTATCATTAGACCTGGCAAAATTTGACACGACACGGACCTGACACGAAGTTAATGGGTTAGGGTCAGAGATTTCGACCCGTTTATGTACACGGGTTGACACGACACGACACGACACGATAATTAAACGGGTAGGGTTAGGGTCAAGACTTTCAACTCGAAGATGACTCGAAG